TAGGGTTAGGATGCCTAGGCACGTTGTTACGATCCAACACAATCGGGTTTCCCCTATATGAGCTATGTTTTGTTCTCTAAACTAATACCACAAATCTTGGTGAATATCCTCTGTTGTATAAATATTAATCTGTAAAGAATGTGAAACGTCAGGTATAGATCGGCATCCACTGATCTATATGGGTAGACATCCCGCCCACATGTTATTAGCTACAACCATCTTCTGACAAGTCAAATTTAACATTGATGTTTCTATTTTATGTATATCACAACATGTACAAAAACGTTGGTGATGATGTTTAGCACGTCCCCTTTTGTGTTGGTGCAAAGGTCTCGTGTTGTAGTGTCGGTTATGAGCTCATTATAGACCCCGATGATTATTTTGTTACTCTATGGAATTGGAATAGGATCCATACAAGGTTTTGTTTACTTATACCAGTGGAAAGAGACTGTATGTAGTGGAATAGTTTGCGACTCATATTAACATGTGTCGTCACCAAAAATTAAGTCTTAAATCAATTAATTGATGATATGACACAATAGATCAAGGTTTTAATCTCATAAATAAATAAGTTATTTTAGTAAACTTTTCATTTTTGCATGAGAACATTTTTGTGAAACAAATATCTTTTAAATTAATCAAAATGGTTCGAAATGATTTCATTTGATTTTCAAAACCTTTTAACAAGTGATATACTTTATGATTTTAAGGGGTTATAGATTCCAAACCTATACAAATCACTAACAATTCATTATTGACGCTATTTTTAAAACATGTATTCTCAGGGAAGTAGCACAACAGGAGGTCCAGTGCAAGATTTATGGCATCATCTTTCATATTAATTATGTTTTGTCGCAACTCCTTGCTACTTTGAAGATATGTAATGATACATGTGTCGATGTAAGATATTATGGAATTATGTAATCATGATGCCTTATGATTTGATTGTGATATTCATTGACTCTGTGCACCTCAGCGTTTCCGCCGTCTGCTGGGAGTGTGACATACCTCGAGGTGAACAAGAGTTCTCCAATTTTGCCACATGTCATTGCTCCACCATGTATTGCTCTCTGTCTGACACATGTCCTCGTGACTTAGTTCTTCTCCACGCCGTGGCGAGCCGCCATGAACAGTTTGAATTTACTTGTTCAAAATAACAATGTACTTTCATCTCAACTTCGAATGACCATAAATTTCTCATACGAACTCCGTTTTGACGATCTTATATCGACATAATTGTCTCGGAGTAATCTATCATTTTATTTTACTAACTCCTGTCCATTCTTGTACAATAATAACGGTTAAGAAAAACGGATATTAAAAAAAACCCTCTATAACTAATGGCTTTCTCTAGGTGTATTATGATAGAAAAAGAAATTAATTGTAATGAAGAATTTTTCCTCATTAATTCTCATTCACTACACACTAACTAATACAATCAATAATCGTACGTTAACTATGAATTTGATTGTGAGAGTATTTGTTAATCAGGTAAAACAGGTAATGGATGCAAAGGTACTAACTGTGAATGTCTTTGCTCAACATGAACATCTTGGGCATATGTATAATCATCATCAAGATTTTGTATACGAAGAAGAATATGAAACACCCCATTTTTACAGTTACATATGATTCAATATAAACAAATTTTTATATAATTCGAAGTAGAAATATATTACTCTTTAGCCCAAGAAAAAAATAGGATAAATAAACTGAATCGTCCGTAAATCATAAAAATGAGTGCAGAAAAACATATATATATATATATATATATATATATATATATGTATGTATATATATATATATATATATATATATATATATATGTATATATATTATTTAGAAAGCACACATTGTCCCGATACCGAAAATATAAACTTCGTAGAAATACAATTTCGTATGAATTAGATATGATTTTTATTAGATATAAAAGCCAGTCGCACACAAGGAATGTGTGACGTAAAAAGCTATGAAGAGAATGGTTGACTTTTGGGTAAAGTCACTAAAAGGAAAATCGTAGTACTCTTTGAGATAAGAATTTTGGTAAAAGGAACACCAAAATTGGAGTCTGTACGAGAGAGTTATGATTTTTGCAAAATCATTAAATCATATAAAAATAAGGCTAAAAATAAAGTTAGAATTAGCCGATGGATCCTAAAGGAAAGTTGTAGTACTCGTTGAGAGCATGTGTGGAAAAAAAGAATGTCAAAAACGGAGTTCGTATGAAGAAATAATGGAATTTACAAAAGCTGCGTTTTGAGCCGCGCATGGTGCGATGCGCGCCGGGTGCACGACGCACGCTTCTAGAAGGTGAAAATGCGGACTACGAAGTGCTTGACACGTGGCACAAAGTGGCTGGGGAGACGTTACCTTAAAATGCTTGACGTGCACCCCTTTTGCACGCTGCGCACTCCAAAAATGTCCTATAAAAGGGCAACAACCCTCATTCTCTCCCTCACACCTCTCCAATCGTTCTCTCTCGATAAAATTTCGATACTAGCCTATTTTTTCTTCGTTTCTGGCCCGCGACGAAGTCCTACGACACCCCTGAGTACTCATCTGAGTAGTAGCCTTCATGTAGGAGATCCCGAGTCAGTATTCTGCCCGCTTAGATCCCGATTCTCATCAATAGTACTCTGTTAATACTCGTTAGGCCTGTTGCCCGTCTGTTGGATCACCAATCGGATCGCCCAGATCCTGTCAATCGTCTAAGTAAATGTCACGGTGAGTTCATCTCACTATATTATGTATTCCAGTATACATTCGTGTATGTTAGGATATAGGAACCGGTAAAGTAGAGCCCATAGTATAGTTTCTATGTGCATGGATTAATAGAGCCGAATATGTAGTATCTATGTACGTGATTGATGATATGGTTATAAGTTCTTGCAAATTAGTTAGGGGATGATGTCAGAACGACAAGGAGATCGGGAGCCTATAGGCCCACGTGCTAACGAAATGACATGTAGGCCGTAAGTACACATTGATACATGTTAACGAAATGGCATGTAGGCCGTAAGTACACATAGACTCGTGTTGAAGACAAAATGGCGTGTAGGCCGTAAGTCTAAAATATGTATATTGTTTGTATCCATGTATGTGTATTGCGATATATGGTATATTGGGGGAACTCACTAAGCCTAACGCTTACCCAGTTGTTATAAATGTTTTTCAGGCACTTCATTGGTTCGTGAGAAGGGCAAGATTCAACTGTACTTGTGCGCATTCACAATCATGTTTTCTGCATTATACTTTGATGTAATTGAATCTTTAATAGATACTCTGATGTAATTGAATCTACACAAAGAAGGACCAAAGATATCAATATTTTAAACTTATTATTAAGGTCCTTTGAGCCAAAATATAAAATACATTTTTTTATAGTTTAAAATATAAAATCATAAAAATATATTATTCCTAAACCAGTTAATTTTAATATATACTCTAATAAATGATAATCTTTTTGTCACATGTCACACTCTCATTGATTTGGTCAAATGTCATTTTGTGGTTATTTTCAATTAAAATTTTCACATGACATTTTGTGGTTTTTTCCATTTTATTAAATTTCACATAATATTTAAATGTAATAATTGCAATAAATGTAATAATAAATGCATATCAATTTCAATAATTGACATGCTTCTAATTTCAACATTTCTAAATTAAAACTTCATTAGTTTCTTTTGTTTATTTATCCAAATTATTTGTTTAAATTTAAAAGAGAAAAAAAATACTTTAATTTTAATAATTCAATATTTTCTTAACTTTTCTTATACATTTAATTTTTTTTAAATGTTTAGAATTTTATATATATTTTTTTTAAATGTAACACCTAATATAATACTATAATTTATGACTTATAATAAAGCACATACCATATATATGTTAGGGGTGAGCAAAACCGAACCCAGAAACCGAAAAACCAAAAAAAACCGACAAAACCGAAACCGACGGTTTGGGTTTAGATTTTTTGAAAACCGAAAATTTCGGTTTGTATTCGGTTTTTGGGTTTGGTAAAACCGAAAGAAACCGAACCGAACCGATTATATATAATGTTTATAAAATTATATAATTTATATACAAATATAAACATGTTTAGCGAAGTTATGTCAAAAGCATCGTCTGGTTCAGATGGGTAAGGCTCTAGCGTGTTTTTCTGGAGGTTTCAGGTTCGAAACCTGTGTACCTTTCTGGAGGTTTTGATGAAACCTGTGTACTTTTCTGGAGGTTTCAGGTTCGAAACCTATGTACAATATTTTACATCTTTTATTTTCGTAGCTAGATAAAACATATCCCACATCGGCACATGACCGAAACATAGTTACATATGCTCGCCTACATAAGCACAACATTCATCCTCTTCAGTTCGCTTTGTCCCACATCGCTTGAGGAATCAAAGTAGAAGCCATCTTCACTTCTATATAAGTGAGGATATGAGATGATAGAAAAATAGTTTCAGGTTTGGTTTAACTCATAAACTGAAACCGAACCCAAAAACCCAATTTAGAAACCGATAAACTGTAACACCGAACCCACGGGTTTAGGGTCGGTTAGGGTTCAATTTTTTAGAAACCGACGTCCATCGGTTTGGGTTCGGTTTTAGGCCAAAACCGACCCAAACCGACCCATGCTCAGCCTTAAAATACGTAGCTTTCATATCATAACGGGTGGAACTAAAACCCAACCCATTTTATCATATGCATGGAAAGATATCCTGCCCCGACCCGTAAGTCAAGAAATTTTAGAGATATTTATTGATGGGAATCAGCTCTCTCTCCATCTTTATCCCCCGTACACGCACAAATCAATATCTCTCCCTCTCTCTCTCTTCATCTCCTCCACCATTTCTCTCTCTTCTTTTCTATTCAATGCGCCTTACACTTTGCCACCATCACCAGATCCTCCCTCACCCTTTCATTCCAATCCTCTATACTTTCGATTCTTCAAATCCCAGATCCCTTTTCCTTTTCCTTCTCAATTCTTCTTGTTAGCTAGCTATGATGTCTTCTCTACGCCCAGATCTCACCACCAAAATCTACCCCTACACGGAGGAGGAACCACTCGACCTTTTCGACCATCTACCGGACTCTCTCCTCCTCTTGGTCTTCAACAAGATCGGTGATGTCAAGGCTTTAGGTCGTTGTTGCGTTGTTTCCAAGCGATTTCATACCCTTGTTCCTCAGGTCGAAAACGTTGTTGTTCGTGTCGACTGTGTTATCTCTGACGACGATGCCACCTCCGCCTCCGGTGCCTCCGATAAATCTCGTGGACCCTTTTCCAGTCTTGTTCGTCTCGTATTTGGTGGAATCGTTAAGCCCATCCAAGCTCTTGGAAACTTTTTGGGTCCCAAGAGATCTTCATCCTCCTTATCTGTCGGTAACAACGTTGATGCTGATGATGATCTTGAACATGGAGGTGGAGTTACGCACCATTCTCCCACTCAAGTTCTCAAAAACTTCGAAGAGATTCGTTTCCTTAAAATCGAGCTTCCAAGCGGCGAATTAGGTATCGAAGACGATGTACTGTTGAAATGGAGGGCGGATTTCGGATCCACCCTTGATAATTGCGTCATGCTCGGCGCATCCTCCGTGATTCATCCCACCCAGAATTTTACATCTAGTGAAACCAATTGCGATCGAGTATGTGGAGCTGGGGCTGTGACTGAAGATAATGGAAGCATACCGGAATCGTTTTACACCAATGGTGGATTGAAATTAAGGGTAGTATGGACGATAAGCTCACTGATCGCAGCATCAGCAAGGCACTACTTGCTTCAACCTATAATCGCAGAGCATAAGACATTAGATTCCTTGGTTTTGACAGATGCAGATAGACAAGGTGTCTTGTGTATGAACAAGGAACAGTTAGAGGAACTGAGGGTGAAGCCATTATCAGCTTCTTCAGCTTCAAAAAGAACCCTAGTCCCAGCTTTGAATATGAAGCTTTGGTATGCTCCATTTCTGGAACTACCTAATGGGACTGTGCTCAAAGGGGCTACATTAGTAGCAATTAGGCCTAGTGAGCAATCAACAACACAGAAGGAAGTTTCTGATGGATCATGGGTTTCATCTGCTTTTGAAGAGCCTTATGGAACTGCTGCAAGAATGTTGGTTAAGAGGCGAACTTATTGCCTTGAGATGAATTCCTTCTGAGGTATTATTCACCATGAAATTTGTATACTTATAACTTGTTTGATACTGATACGGATACAGATACAGTATTCTCATGTTGATTTCTTTTTTGTGTCTCAGCTTTCATGGCTGCATAAAAGGCGATAAACTTTATGATTCAAGGCACAGGAAAAACAAAACACACAATTTTGTTCACAGCATGTATATGAGGTTGGATGGTGCAAAATGTTACTTATCTTCAATGGTGCTTCAATGGTGTATGGTTGATGAGGGTATGTTTCGGTTTATGTATGTATGGTAATGGTATGAAAAGTGAGAAAAAAGAGTTGCCTTGGTGGTGGATGGTGTTGCAAGGGGGTTGTTTTGGGTTCTGTGTTTGTTTGTAGTCATATCTATATCTCTAATTCTCTATATCTCTATATATGTTATACGATCTTCATTTATGTGAATATTTGTAGGTATGAAACAATACTAGTGTTTATAAGTGGGCTTAAACTGCCTGTTTTTTGAATTGTGTATATTTTTCTGTTATAATTTTGGTCTGGATGTTTGCTAAGGGTTAGTTATGTCAGGTGTATTCAATGAGGTTTTGATGATAAATTGTGAACGGATCACTATCAAATATCGGCTTCTTTTTATTAATTTATTTGGTTTGGTGATTGACAACCACATATCACAAATAATGAATTACTCATTTACTCCTAGAGTCTACTCTAGAGGTCTCAATGTGGGCTTTAATGCTAGCACCTGAGTCCTGACTATTGTGTATCTTTCAGTATGAATTGGGCTTTTGTCGGCACCAGGCCCTTATAAAAGCCCATTATCTCTCAAAATATATTTGTGGAGTCGGGTTTTTGGGCTTCTAGAAAAATAATCTTTTTGCAGTAAACAGTATTTGATTTAATGGATGAAAAGGGGCATTGTGGGCAGTTGGGCAGCTTAAAAGGTATTAGTCGTTTCTACAAAGGTGACATGGTCACAATCATCACAAGGTAACATTGATTTCAACGAAACCTTTTGTCCACTTGAGGCTATTTTGGTTTTTTTTTTCAACATAAATTATTTTAAGTTTTATCTTTTAAAGCCTTAAAGTATGTTACCAAGAACGACTAGAGAAAAACATATTCCAATTAACCCAAGTAAATTGATATATTGTGTATTTAACACTTTTCAAAAATACAAGCAAAAAATATGGAGTATAAGGCTACATCCTTTTAAGACAGGATGAGAGAGGTGCACAAAACCGGGATTTTATCCCCATCGGACAGAGCCAGTTTTTTCCATATTGGATTTTAGATAATCTGGTTAGCATTTTTTGAAATAAGTTATTGGATTTCGGATCTATCTAGCTTTTCTTGAATTTTTAAGATTTTGGATAGAAATTATCGGATATTTTTTTTACTGATATAAACCCGACCCCCAAATCTGGTTTCAAGTATTCATATATCCAGCGGATCAGATTTATCCGGGGTGGATATCTTATAACCCGAATATGAAGAAAAAAAAATATGTTTTGTATATTATTTTAGTAAAAAAAAGGTTCATTTTGTGCACCTTTAAGAAAAGATGGTCAGATGAATATCTTTAATTAGATATGGATGAGTAATCCAATGAAATGACTTCTCAATCTCTACTCACAGCTGAAAACAGAGAAAAATATGCAACTTAGATTGATTTTCGTGGTGTGTTTTACTTTTAGATTCTAGTTTTTTTTATTTGTATTTGTCTAATGTTTGCTTTAGCTCCTTGCTTATGTAATTTTCTGTTATTAAAAAAAAATAGTATATTTTCAAATTTGATGGGGACAAGTAGACAACTAAAGCCCAAAAGTGGCTTCCATTATTTTAGCATGTTTGTAGTTTTTATCAATGCTTGGTTCATGAATTTCAGGTTTATTTTGTATAATGTGTTCAATATCATTTGATTGTAGAGCTTGAGCGTTGTTGATATAATAATATCTTTCCCTAAAAATATAAGAGTGGATGACTTATTATGGTAACAAATTTAAGATTTTTTATATTATTTTTATCAAAAAAAGTACCATTTTGCTTATATATATATATATATATATATATATATATATATATATATATATATATATATAATATATATATATATATATACTAGTAGGGTACCCGAGCGATGCGGCGCGCGAGATAGTTTGATACGGCAGATAGTTTTCATGCGGCGATTAATTTTCTTTTCATGTCAAATAGTTTGTTTTAGCATTTTAGTGGAATTTTTGTGTTAGATAGTTCATTTCATCGATTACTTTCTAGCTAGGTACGTAAATGTCGGGGCAGAATAGTTTCTTATCTGATATCATCTATTGTACTGGTTTTTATTTTACGATTAGATTAAATGTAAAAGTATATGTAACGGTCTTCAATGAGGGGTTTATGAATAGATTTGATTGGTAGTTAGTTTCCGGTCTCCATTTGGTGATTAGTTTCGATTCAACGAACGGATACTCTTTTCTTTCGGAAAATGTGTTATTCAAAAGAGATGCAATGCAACAATAAATACTTTTTACTGTTGGATGCAACAATAAATACTTTTTACTTACATTATTATTTGCAAAATCTTGTTTTTCTTTTGACATTAATTTATCAAGATTGTTTACGTTTGATCTCACATACCCATTAATTGTAAGCACTCACTTTTCGTTTGATTTCGTGTCCCCATTAATTGTAGGTACTCGTTTTTCATCTGTAGAAGCTAGTATGAGGTGAGTAGTCACTTTTCACTATTTGTATAAGCTACACTATTATGTGATGGACTATGCGGTCACTTTTCACAAATGTACTTTGTTAAAAGTTATAATCACAAATTTTATATTAATAATTCTCATTTCTCATTCGTTGATAATCATCTTTATTTTTAATTAATTGTTGTTTTACAACAAAATATCATCTTAAATAAAAAAGTGTAGACATGCTCAAAACAAAAAAAAATAAAACATACAAACACACCGACACATATAGAAACTTACATAAACTGTTAGCAAAATTTATTATAGAAACATACAACTGTTGGAGTTCATATTTTTGAAGAAGATCTAATCAGAAACTAAAAATTCAAGATCCAAACAAAAAAATAAACCTAACTCTTACTTTCTTCTTGATTCCTTTACAATCTAAACATTCATGTTCATCTTCGTGATCCATCATCTTTTCCATTGCTAAAAAAAAAACAAAATTAAAAGAATACATACATGTAACAAATACAAATAATCAACCTACTTAGAGAACATAAATCAAAATCATACATAGATCTACACCATACACAATATGCACACAAATATGAAACATCTTAAAACATACACACAGATCTGAAACATCTTCCACCGAAAAGACAAAAAATGGTTTCTCTGTTTCTTTTGTACATATCGATTGGGAAAAAGGAACAATGATTATTACATCTGTGTGTTTGCATATGATCTGAATGATGGGGCATCAATAAAGAAAGAAAGGAAGAGAGCGAGAATGAGGTGTGCTGAAGATTTAGATCTGATATTAGAGAGAGATATAGAGATGTGTTTCCATGAAGTAGAATTGATGGTAGCAGAGTTAAATGGAGGCAAGTTGTGGCAGTGTGGAGCTTAAGATCTAAGGTTAGTGACAACTGTAGTGGTGGGTTGTGTTTCAGAAGGTTTGTTGACCAAAAAATGTATACCTTTATTTGAGCTAAAAAGCATAAGAACCTGTGGAAGAACAATCAAACATGTGAAATCAGGAAACAAAAAGGGAGGAAAATCAAAATCAAACCCAGGAAAGCAAATAACAATGTCAGACAAAGCAAAGAATCAACCCTGTTTGACGACTTGGACTATTCCCTGCGACTATAGATGCACCAGATTAAAAACCCAAGTAAGACAAATTTCAATTTAGGGCTCGTAAAAGAGGGGGCAAAAAAATTAAACAAAAGGAAGCAACAAATTTTCGTTCACCTTTATGTTCCCCTTCGTCCCTTTGATTTTTGTTCCTGCAACTCCTTTCAGTAAACTTCCCTACAACCACAATATATGTAACAAAAAAATAGATCTAAGTCCATCATGTACAGGTTAAACTGACATAATCTGAATGTTAACTTTCCTTTAATTCTGAGTTTTATCAAACGAATAGTATAAGATGACGAAAAAGACAAAGACAAAATATAATAACAAAGGCTTTATAACACATATAGAAATCTGAAAGCTCTTACCAGAACAAGGGTGTTTGGTGTTCGTGTCGAGGAAATATATGAGATTTGGGCAGATATGTTTCTTTGTAGTTAGGGTTTCGCACCATCACCCTCAAACCAAACTGAGAGAACATGGAAGATCTGAGCGGTGAATCTTTAGGGTTTTGATGGTAGCAGACAGAAAGATCGAAAGGGAGTAGAGATGGTGGTGACTGGAGCGTATTCTTTGGTATCAAAATTTGAAATGTAGAAGATTCTAGGAGAGTGTGAAGATGTTTGTAGCCATTGGATCGTAGAGAAGGATCGATGGATATAATTAGACCCTGCTCGATCCATGTGATGTCCAGTCACCATGGTTGCCTTCTCCGCATACATTTGCCCCTTATTTCTTTTTATGCATCATTTAGTTGTAAAGAGAGCTGCATAAGTTGTCTTTAAAACAATTTTTTAAGAGGTAGCTTTATTTATTGTACATCATGCATAATAAGTTGTGTTTAAGACTAAATTATGTATGGTTTATAATATACGATCTTAGGTGTGAAAAATGAGTCGGATCGTATTTGGGGTAGGATCGCAGGTAGGATCGTACGATCCAATGGCATGTCACGTCAATTGATAAACGGGTATATATATATATATATATATATATATACATATATATATATATATATATATATATATATATATATATATATATATATACCCGTTTATCAATTGACGTGACATGCCATTGGATCGTACGATCCTACCTGCGATCCTACCCCAAATACGATCCGACTCGTTTTTCACACCTAAGATCGTAGGATCGTACGATCCTACAATCAGGATCGCGATTTTGACAACAATGACCCAAACCTTATGTTTGAAATTAATATCATCATATTGTATATAATGTATACTATTGATATGTATTTAGCAAAAAGTTGGTAAACCGTACCATCTAAACGGCCAACATTAACCCGTTCTCAGTTCCACGTGGAGGTCAATCACAAACCCTATTTTTTGCATATAAATATGTATTTTTGCATTTAAATCTGTATTTTAATATTTAAAGCTATAACTTTACATATAAATACATATTAAATATAGTTTTAAATATAAACATAGGTTTAAATTTATTTATACATCTTAATACGTAAATAATATGTATGTTTACTAAAGAGGCTATAGTACGTTTTGAAGGGTAGACATTATATACAAAAATGATGGTATTAATTTCAATTAGAAGGCTAAAACCCTCACCAATTAGCGAGAGACCCAAGTTCAAGTTTGCTTCTCATCCACTCTATTTTA